GGAAATTTTAAAGGCGCAGGAGCAGGTTGTCCCCATGTGCCGAAAGATGAGCCGGTGGGGAAGAAGACCGGCCTGGCTGAACAGGGAGCTTAGGCTGGAGCTCAGGAGAAAAAGGAGGGTTTATGATCTGTGGAAGAAGTGACAGGCAACTCATGAGGACTACAAAGACCTCATGAGGTTATGCACTGAGAAAATTAGAACGAGCAAAGCCCAGCTAGAACTCAGTCTAGCTGCATCAGTAAAAAGCAATAAAAAATGCTTCTATAAATACATCAGTAACAAAAGAAGAGCTAAGGAGAATCTTCATCCTTTGTTGGATACACAGGGAAACATGACAAAGGATGAGGAAAATGCTGAGGTGCTTAATGCCTTCTTTGCCTCAGTCTTTAATGGTAAGACAGTTTGCTCTCTGAATATACGGACCCCTGTGCTGGAGGACGGGAATTAGGAACAGAACAACACCCCCAAAATCCAAGGGGAAATGGTTAGTGAACTACTGCACCACTTAGACATCCACAAGTCTATGGGGCCAGATGGGATCCACCCCAGGGTACTGAAGGAGCTGGCAGAAGTGCTCACCAAGCCACTCTCCATCATTTATCAGCAGTCCTGGCAAACTGGGGAGGTTCCAGCTGACTGGAAGCTGGCCAATGTGATGCGCATCTACAAGAAGGGTCAGAAGGACGATCCGAACAACTACAGGCCTGTCCATCTGACCTGAGTGCCAGGGAAAGTGATGGAGCAAATTGTCCTGACTGCCATCTCACATCACGTGCTGGACAACCAGGGGATCAGGTCCAGTCAGCATGGGTTTATGAAAGGCGGGTCCCGCTTGAATAACCTGATCTCCTTCGATGACAAGGTGACTCGCTTAGTGGATGAGGGAAGGCCTGTGGATGTGATGTACTTAGACTTTAGTAAAGCCTTTGACACCATTTCCCCCAGCTTGCTCCTGGAGAAACTGGCCACTCATGGCTTGGATGGATGTACTCTTCACTGGGTAAAGAATTGGCTTGGATGGCCAGGCCCAGAGAGTTGTGGTGAACAGAGTTAAATCCAGTTGGTGGCCGGTCACTAGAGGTGTTCCCCAAGGACAAAAGGTATTACCTTGTGCTGGGTAATATCTTTATCAATGATCTGGACGAGGGGATAGAGTGCACCCTCACTAAGTTTGCAGATGCTACCAAATTGGGCGGCAGTATTGATCTGCTCAAGGGTACAAAGGCTCTGCAGAGGGATCTGGACAGGTTGGATCGATGGGCTGAGGCCAATGGCATGAAGTTCAGAAAGGCCAAGTGCCAGATCCTGCACTTGGGTCACAACAACCTCATGCAACACCACAGGCTTGGGGAGCAGTGGCTGGAAAGCTCCCTGGTAGAAAAGGACCTGGCCTGGGGGTGTTGGTCGACAGCCAGCTGAACATGAGCCAACAGTGTGCCCAGGTGGCCAACATTGCCAATAGCATCCTGGCCTGTATCAAAAGTAATGTGGCCAGCAGGAGTAGTGAAGTGATCGTACCCCTGTACTGGCCAGTGGTGAGGCTGCACCTCGAGTTCTGTGTTCAGTTTTGGGCCCCGCACTACAGGAAAGAGGTTGAGGTGCTGAAGCGTGTCTGCAGAAGGAGAACGAAGCTGGTGAAGGGCCTGAAGAACAAGTCTTACAAGGCGTGGCTGAGGGAGCTGGGGTTGTTTGGCCTGGAGAAAAGGAGGCTCAGGGGAGAGCTTCTCAGTTTCTACAACTACCTGAAAGGAGGTTGTAGAGAGGTGGAAGACCATCTCTTCTCCCAGGTAACAAGCAACAAAATTAGAGGAAATGGCTTAAGTTGCACCAGGGGAGGTTTAGATTGGATATTAGAAAAAACGTCTTCACCAAAAGGGTAGTCAAGCATTGGAACAGGCTGCCCAGGGAGGTGTTGGAGTCACCATCTCTGGTGGTGTTTAAAAGATAGGTAGACGAGGTGCTTAGGGACATGGTTTAGAGGTGGAATTGGTAGTGTTAGGTTTATGGTTGGACCTGATGATCTTAAAGGTCTTTTCCAACCACTATGATTCTATGTGATTCTATGAAAGCAATTAATAGAATCTGCCTGAATTTCACAGTCTCTGATATTTTGATACCTTTGAAGATAAGTGAATATTTTTACATCTACCAGCACACAGGCTGCTGTAAAAATTACTTGAAATTATTTTCCAAACAATTTCAGTGGTATATATGCCAATAAAACAATTTAACTAAATACATTAATTTTTCTTACTAAAACTGTTATAAGTTACTTTATTTGTGAATATGGTAAAAAAATATTCTAGGTTACATATCAAATGTAAAACATATAGTAGAACAAACACATACTGCTTTTGTAAGCTCACATTAATTACACATCTTATACCCACACATGCTAACACAAATTCACTAATTTGGATTTTATGAAAGGTACATAAAAAAAACTGAATCTACAAAAGTAAATTTAGTGGTAGGATGTGAACTTCAACCCATTTGATTTTTTGCTATATTAGTTTTCAGTCCTTATTTGTATTCTGATGTGTATCACTGATCCTGAAATTATGTCTCCTTGCCCTCTTATTAAATAGCTTGACACAGCTCTATGAGGTCTACAGAAATGCCATAACATACTTGCTAAGAGAAAATAAAGTACTGTGTGCACCAATAGCCATCCATAATGGAAGCCAGTTCAAAGAACTGTTTTAAAATGCTCTGAGGGAAATATTCATATGGAAACAAAACTTTTTAAATTCTTGGTATGTAGTAATTAGGGAGTGAAAATCAGACATTGTAAAACTTTTATGGGAAATCAGTGTAATTACATGAAATGGTCACTTAAATTCATGTATAATGCAGAAAAGCATTTCAAAGAGTGAAAACATATGAGAAAAATGGGAGAGAACAAAAAATAATCACATACTATTGATAGTATTGTGGGATCTTTCATAAAGCTGCTTTGAAATTTCCTAGGTATAAAACCAAAACAACCTAGAAGGGTATACAAAGATATTTCAGACTTTGAAAATCTAGGCCAATCATCCTCCAG